AAAAAACAGCTGCTTGTTTAATTGAAAATACATTGATGGTGTTTTTTGCACTAATAAAGTTGTGGAGTTGTAAAGTATTTTGTCTAGTGTCAATTATATCGTCAGTTATATCGTTATCGCAAATTTTCAAATGTATATTGTGATAAATATTTTTGGTCACATCACCCTGCTCTACTGTCCAGGGTGTACCACATCTTTCACCCAATGACAGGTGAAATAGACTCAAGGCTATCTACTCATGATAAAGATCAAACATGCAAAATATAGCCAATCATAAAATTATTCTGCCATAAAAAGAAAAACATTCTCTAGCACTGAGGCTGGTCAATTAAACATGAAGTAAAACCCATGCAAAGGCCTCCCTATAAATACCACAAACACTGCCTGAGAAGAAACTAGCTTATCAGCAGAATATATATATTTTGCATCACAACATATTGCGTTATATCACCAAATATTGATATTTTATTAAATAAATTCAAATACTCTAGAAATACTCTGAACGAGAGGGCTCATCTCATGCACCCCCATCCTGAGATAACGTTAGCCTAGCAAGTATGCCTTAAGGTTCTCAGTCATCCAGGTCATTGTAGTCTAAGGAGGTTGAAAAGAAAAGTGTCTGGACTTCTTTTAAGTTTCCTTGAAGACATTTCACCTGTCATCCAAGAAGCTTCTTTTTTGCACTGAAACGAAGGTCAGACACCAACTAGGGAGGAACAGAAAGACAAACGCACCAACGTTGTCATCCCCTATGTAGCCAGTTTATCAGAGAAGCTTGGGAGAGTCTTCTCCAAACACGACATCCCAGTGTACTTCAGACCCAGCCACACACTCAGACAAAAACTGGTTCATCCCAAAGACAAAACTCCTAAACAAACTTAACAACGTAGTGTATACTGTACAGTGTAGCAAGGAGTGCTCACACATCTACACTGGAGAGACCAAACAGCCACTTCATAAATGCATGGCACAACATAGAAGAGCCACCTCGACGGCTGTAAATCTGCATCTAAAGGACAAAGGTCACTCTGACAGAGAAGACAGATGGCTTGAAAGAGGAGTGAAAGAAGCCATCTATGTCCACTGTGAACAACCATCTTTGAACAGAGGCGGTGGCTTACGACACCAATTGTCTGCAATCTAAAATCCAGTTTTGTGATTCCTTCCCAGACGCCTTAACGCCCACTCACATCCTGGGCCTTTTGACCTCAGTAAATCACATGATAGGGTGAGGCTAGGTTTCACAATGGGTTCACCCAAAACCTTGACTGATTGTGACCCGCACTTGTTTTCACACCTTGGCTCATGTGATTAGGTAGAGGATCAATGGGAGTCCATGACCCTCTTGGGGACACTCCCATAGGCCTTAAAATCTGGAACTCTCCCCCATTTGCTCTTAGAACTGAAGAAGCTTCTCAGATGAGAAGTGAAATGTCTTTAAGGAAACTTGGAGAAGTCCAGACGCTTTTCTTTCCAAGATCCTTCTACGTTAGCCTAGCAAACGTAAGTTCAATTGGTTCAACCAAAAAAAACTATCCAACACTGGACAGACTTAGCACAACAAAGCTACCTCCTCATTCAGAGGAAGCTAACGGCTAAGTCACACAAGTAATAATAGGACAGCAAACTTCTTACAAAGAAACAATTTCAACTTGTGCTGACTGAAGTTTGATGGTATTACACACTTTTTGCTGTTTTATCAGAAGTAGAATGCTTGTAATTGCCAACTAGACCGTATTCAAACACACTGATGTCAGACTGGTAGCAGACTGGCTGTCCTAAGGCAACATTTATGGCTGGTTTTAGTGACAGTGTTTGCATGCAGGACAATCTCTCTTTTCAGCAAAAATAAATAAATGAAGTGAGACGAACTCATCCAATTGGATAAAACATACTGACAAAGTCTAACTTTGAAGACATAATTTGCAGTTTAAAAAAAAGTTGATTGCAGTATATATTACTGCAATAATCCTCATATTGCAAAATGTTTAAAATCGCAATAATATGGTATCGTGAGTGAAGCATTGTGATAGCATCATATCGTGGGGTGTCTTGTTATTCCCAAGTCTACTGTATATGGTATAAACTCAAGAGAATAATGACCGCACTGTGCCAGAACATAGCATGTGTGCATACTTTGTGGGACTCTAACAGCAAGTCGTTTTAAATGAACAAGAGCCAGGGCCAAACTAAACAATTGCTAAGTCTTCAGTCGCAGTTAAATGAGATTATCGCTGCTTAAGCACATTTCAATAAGCCTCCCAACAATAGCAGTGGTCAAACAGCAAACCTGATAATACCATGAGCAGCTTGTTGAAACAGATTCATGCATTTAATCATACAGATGGTAGCGGAACCAAACACACTGCCCGACTCAAAGCTCTACAATGGTATGTCCTTGAGATTGGTCATGTAAATATGTAAGCACACAAAGGGGCCTACTGTCAGAGCACATTCTGACCTCCGTGTCTAGGAAAGAAGTGCGCAGATAGCTGACAAGTCATTCTCACTGTACGGCTAGTGTGGTTGAGCTTCCTCACTTGCATGCACACTTTCTCACGCGCACAAACATGCATGCCACATAAAGACAGAAGTGTATAACCCTACACCAGCCATGACGTCAGTCACCCTGCCTGTATTTTAAACTTAGCTCTTTTTTGGGAGGGGGTCTTGTAAGCAGCACTGTGTGTTTGATGCGCTCATCATCCTCCTATCTTTAACACCAACAGATGTGCGACTTTAGCCTGTTCTCGCCCACAACTGCGTTTAAACATCAAATAGTCGAGAGGTGGTCCTGACTCTTTTGACGCTGTGCATTTTTTTTCCTGTCACTTACGTATTTATTTTTTCCTGTCGAGCTACACCTTTACAGTAAGCTTTAGCAGCATTTCCTGACACGGAAACGTCACAGCAGAAAGCGGCTTTCTATTCTGGGGGCATTTGATATGCAAACGAGGTTTTATTTCTGTAGACGTGCTAGCGGCAGATGTCCTCGCTTGCGGAGCTGGGGCACATAGACAGGTTAACTTGTTGAACGTGAGAAGAAAAATGCACAACTGCCTGTACAGTCACCCGTCATCATATAAATATTCTGTTTCTTAAAGTAAGCCACTTTGGCAACAAAGTAACTGATTTAGTCAAATTTTTTATATCATTTGTTCTTAATAACGGTAATAAGTTAACCGAGCAGGCCAATTATGTCAAAGCAAACCAATTCCAGCTATGCGAATAACAACCGGGATGGTAAATAAATTTCTAAGAGAACTTGCAGCTACGGCATGTGACACAAATAGAAAGCCGGCTAACAATAGCAGTCGCCGGATGGTGCCTCACCGACTCCCACGCATCCCTGATACTTTACTGCTACCTGGCAAACGAGGGGCAAATACGTACAAAAGAGCTGCACAGTTACAACGGACGTCTGGGTCGTGCTGTGCGGGTACTCACTGCTCTCAACAGGGGCTTCATTTGTTCCGAAGGATAGTCCATTTCACCTGCCCTGCGAGCGGTTAGCGGTTTCTGCCAGCTGATGTACAGAAGTGCCCGGCCCAGCTGATAGTTGCGGTAAGTGGCAGCCTTTGTCGTTTTCCTAAGAACTGGGTAAGAAACGCCTCTGAAGTGATCGACAGAGACGTGTTTCCAATTGACTTTCAACGCCCGGCATTCTCGACCAATTAAAATCCAAAACGAAACAACAAGGGTGGGGTCTACTCCTCTGACGCGTGAAGTCCCAAACGGACCTTTTCTTATGTTTTACCTCGTCAACCCTGCTGGAGAGTAGAGGATGATTATACTCAGAATTAGACTTAGGGCACTGAAATACAGACGAGAGAAACTGACACAGTATAAGTCAAGCAGCCCATATTTGATTGGTTAAAAGGTGAGATGGATCCATTTTTTAAATTTGGCATTTCACATTTGACATTTTCTTTTGTACTGGGTCTAAGTTGGACAAACAAAAAATATGTAAAGTAAATTCAGTTGTATTGTTGTATTATATACATGATAATATTTAAATTATATTTCTTCCAATTTTAAAGTGATTTTTCCTTTTGTTATATATTGTTATTTTTATAGGTTATGCTATAGACTTTGCTGCTTTAATAATGTGAATTTCCTAATTATGAAACAGGCTTATCTTACTACTAGCTTATCTCATAGAAAAAAATATTCAAAGAAATAGTGTTTGAAGTGCACGCCGATTTATAAAACTAAACACAAAGTCAAACGGTTTACTACTTAACTGGTTAGTTACATGAATGTGTATAAAAAAGAGACTCCTGGATAGGCTATTTTGAGTTTATTTTGTCTGTCTGATTTCTTGTGATGTATTAGAGTAATGGTAAGTTCTAGTGTTATTATTACAATGTCTTAATTAGGTTTTGTTTAAAGTTTCCTCCATGCTCCCTTGTTTATATATCCTTTTGTTTCCTGTATAAGTCTCTTGTCCCCTATGTATGATTTTTAGTTATGTCTGTCCCTTGTTCCCCTTATCTGTTCCTCTCCTTGTCTATCATTCCGTGTCCCCAGTCTGTTATGTGTTTCATGTCTCCATTTTCCATGTCATATTGTCAATCTCGTGTTGTCATAGTCTTCCTCTCATTATGTTTCCTATTTTATTTTGACAGTCTCGTGTTTTGCTTTCTCTGTGGCGCCATGTTCATTTGTGTCAGCTGTGTTCCCCATGTGTTTCCACTTCCCTCATTAACGTTCTGTGTATTTAAGTTCTCTGTCTTCCTTTGTTTTGTGTCAGGTTGTCTGTTGAGTTCTGTCCTCGTGTTCAGTTTTTTAATCATGTTCAAGGTTTTGTTCTTTGTCCCTTGTGTTTAGAATTTAGTTTTCCAATAGTGTTCATCTGCCTTTTGTTTTCTATCTTTTCCCAGCCAAAAATAAACGGCTCACCCTTTGTTAAATTATAGTTTTGTTCCAAGTGTCTGCATTTTTGTTCTCCTCCTCCCTCCACACGGTCTGCCCAGCAACTGAGTTTTGAACCAATTGAAGCTTATGGAGGGATTTTTGGGGAAGACTATGTAAAAGAGAATTACAATAGTCAATGCAGGAGGTAACAAGGCTATGAACAAGACTGGATGCAAACTGGATGGAAAGAAAAGGATGTAATCTTCAGGGATGACACCAAGGCTCTTAACCTGAAATGATTTGGTGCAGTGGTTTCTGTGCTGTCAGTGACATGAGTGGAAGATTGAAATCTCTCGTATTTATTATTATGAACCAGGTGTAAATGAAGTTGAGCTGCGACTTTTCAAGTATTTTAGAAATAAAGGGTAGATTGTTAAACGGACGAAGGTTGTTAGGATCTAAGGCAGGTTTTTTCAGTATAGGAGTGACTGAAGCAATCTTGAATAAAGAAGGAATGAGTGATGAGTGGGAGTAAGGAAGACAGGCAAGATTTCAACAGTCCTGTAGGCATAGGTTCAAGATGACATGTAGCGGGCTTCGATTTACATGGACATGGAAATATCAGCTATATCAGGAACATGAAAGGTGGAAAAGGGCTCAAATTGGAGAAGAGGCTCTGAAGAGGGGGTAGAAACAGCATTTGAACTGAGTTGCTGGTGAATGTTATTAATTTTCCTTTTGAAGAACAGCATCAAGGAGTTACAGGTTTCAGATGAATAGAAGTGTGGCGATAAAGTGTCAGGGGGTTGAAATGTAAGTAATGCGATTACTTAAAACCCATTGCTGTTTCTTGAAACTCTAGTTATATCTGCACCAGTGATTTAGTAAGAACCGGTTGGCTGAATCATCCAAACATCTAGAGAGAGAGACTGTCTTTTTAAAATAATTTTTATCTTTAGCAAGTTCAGTACAGGTAGAGACAGATACGCTTAGATCACTGTATTAATTTAAACCTTCTTTATGTTTTATAATGATTCATGCACAGGTGTAGTTCACATCCTCGCAGGTTCAGCTGAGCTGTGTCTGCCGGTTAGCAGAGTCCTTTCTTTGCAGAGCTTGCATTTTCCTCCCAGTGCCTGCATGGATTGTCTCCAGTCACACCGATGTCCTCCTATAGTCCAAAGACATGCATGTAAAGTAAACTAGTGATTTTAATTTGGCTCTAGGTGTGAATGTCAGCATGAAGGGGGAAAGAGGAGGTCTGAAATGCTGACTTTCTTTTTTTCTGCCCTCCAGACTAATCTTAAGGTCATGCCACCTCAGCTTCAGCAGCACAGCTTGGATGAGAATGATTCCTAAAAATCATCCCTGCAAAAAAAGTTAAACACAGAAATGTGTGATATATATTGAATGTATGAGTGTCAGAGCTATTTGTGTGCAAGGGTTGATTAATTATTGATATGAACAGGTGACACATAAGCCTCAAAGCAGAATTTTCTCCTAAACAAAAGGCACAACAGTAGCCTGCTATCAAACACAACTGTCAGCTCATTACACTCTCATGTTCACTTCTGGAGCAAAACAAACAAACAACACAAAGGGAACAGAGGAACAAAAGGGAACTGCGGTGCAGAAATCTTGAGCCTCACCTCATGTCTCATTATTTTGCTAAGAAAATGGTAAATATGTGCAGTTACTTATTGAAACGTGCAAATATACATGGAAATACAGTAGTATATAAAGCAAAAACAGAGTTTCTGTAGTTATATCAAGCTTGAAAGTCAATATCTGGTATGACCACCTTCATTCTTTACCACAGCCTGAACTCTCTTACTCATGTTTTCTTGTCATTTCTTTAAGTCTTCAGGAAAAGTTTTGCAGGCTTCTTGAAGGACATTCAAAGCTCTTCCTTGGATGTTGTCTGCCTTTTGTTCTGTTCTCTGTCAAGATGATCCCACACTGCTTCAATAATTTTGAGGTTCAGGCTCTAGGGACGCTCACTGTGTTCCATTCTCTTGTTTTTTAATCCATGTATAGTTTTACTGCACTGGTGGTGTGTTTGGGATCATTGTCATACTGAAAAAATAGATTGTTGCTTCTCAGACATATTCAGGGTGGTACTGCATGCTGGCTCAAGCTGTAATGCTACTTTTTGTCTCCATAATTCCATGAATTTTGAAGATAACAGTGGGTGAAATGCAGCTGCATCACGTTTTACAGATGGCTATAAACACTCAATGTCGTACCTCTGTACTAATGATAGTTTCAACCAAAAATTTCTAACTTAGATTCATCACACCGTAAGACTTGTTGCTGCTGATTTTCAACCCTAGTCTTGTGTTATTTGGCATCCTTCAGGCTTTTCTCCCCACATCTTTTCCTCAAGAGTTTCATCCTAAACTAATGTGGAAACATTCATGTTTTATCACCTAAACCTCAGTTGGTCATGAGCTGAGTGACCAACAACACCAATGTTCTTGTTGAGATAAAAACTGAACGGCCCTATAAGTAGAAGTTATACCACCTATAAGTAAGATGCTGGATGATGCTGGCTAATCATCTGAAGTATTTGCATCTAAATCTATATACTTCTACAGAATCTTTGTAAAACTCATCCTGGGTACCACTTTTCTGTAATTATTCATCTTCACCAGCAGATGGCAATGTCGTATTAAACAATTCCTTCTGTTCATACAAGTCAACAGCCAGAAATGAACATATTTCATTCACTCTATAGATACACTGCTTTCTCTTCTGTCTGCTATTCCTCTCCCTTGTTTTATGATTTAAGGTACATATTCACTTATTTCTAGATCATGACAAATGACTGAAAATAGTGTATGGTGGACCACAAAGAAAGCCACAGTTTTTTTTACTATGTAAAGCTGATGTGCCCAAATTATCATAATAATTTTCACTATTGCAGTTTATCTAAATGATCCAGCCCAGGAAGCCCATCTTCAGCCCCACTAAAGCACCAAAACTTTTATTGTTATTCCAGTGAACACCCTCAGTCATGTGCATTATTACATAATCTCCCGGTTCTCTTTCATAGGTGTCGCACAAAATGCACTTCGAAGATAAACCAGACAGGTGCAAAAAGCCAAAGAAGTCTGCTCGTTCAGAAGTGTTCAGGGGCGTTTTCCTTTAAATAGAGCCCAATCCTCACCCACCCATCAACCTCCGGCATAATCACGCGGCAGCTCAGAAATAGAACTGCGAGGTGGGAGATCAAACTATCACCTCTTAATTGTAGCCTGAGTCTTAAAGATGCTGAGAGCCCATTAGCGCACAAAGAAGTGTGCTGTGTACTGCTCCTTAAACATGCATCAGTATAATGCAGCTGGGAGATGAGTCAGAAGTTAGACAAGTGGAAGAATCACCACACTGGCATCCACCTGTGCTGGGACTCGCAGAAAAAGATGCAGATTGCAAGGTGTGGTGATGATGGGAAAGAAAGTTTTCTCCTTTCGCAGCTTCGGGAAAGAAGAAAGGGAGAAAACAATGCTAAAAACTTGTAGTGCTTAAAAAAACTGGAGACTTGATGCCATATTTGCAAAAAAAAAAAAAGAGCATAAATAAATCTTTAAAAAATATCTAACTTGTTGAATCCTTACAGAGGTCACAAAGATAGTTTTCAATTGGTAGTGAGCTGCAAAAGGTGACACATTAGAGAGTGTAAAATGTTAAGTAAAACCCACCAAATGAATATTGATTGTGTCATGTTTTGTCTCAGAAGCTGTAGAAATGAAGAGTCCCTTTT